GGAAATCAATCCATTTTCATGCCGTCTAATCCAACCAAGATATAACCACCCCTCTCTGCAGCACTAAAGCCCAAGTTACTCCTATACCGTACATGACTATTCAACATAAATGAGCTTTCCAGAAGAAGAGGATGAAGAACTCTAACGAGAGTATGAACGACCAGCTTATTCCGAAGAGGAATATATTTATCGAGTGGCTTGCAAAGTCCTCAGTGAACTGTCTTGACATTCTGACTCGGAAGAAGAAATAATCAAGCTTTCCCATCTCCCTCAGATTGCAAAAGTCTTCAAGACAAATTCATTTAGACAAACATCTTTTAAGAGCCCCTGGAATGATAATCATTACTGGAGAAAACAAGAGAAACATCAAGGATTGGCTGATAAATTCATCTGATGTTCAGTGTCCAAACACCCATGCTGTGATTGTAAAAAAGGAAGATGGAAGACTTGATATGATGCAGTCCAGTACCTTAACGTCCCGCCTGGATTTGACCTCTGTAACAATTGATGAATAAATGGAGACAACTCAGATTGGTTCAGGTTACAAAAATAGGAGTAAAGAAGCATGGACATTCCTGGGTTTTTGTAAGTACCTAAGTAATGTGTGGCTTTATGACGGGGGTATTCAATTCTGGTCTGGAGCTGGGGTCCTGCAGCTTTTAGACATGTCCCTTGCCCAACAGACTTGAATCAAATGGATGAAATACCTCCTCAGTGTGCAGTCAAGTTCTCCAGAGTCCTTCTGATTACCCGATTATTGGAATCAGGTGTGTTAAAGCAAAGACACATCTAAAAGTTGCTAGACACCAGACCTCAAGGACTCGGGTTGAATACCTCTGCTCTATAATAATATCTGCCTTCAAAACAGTTCTATGCTTTTCTAATTAATTGTGCATTACCTCTAAAATCCAGTCAGGGTAGTATATATTTTTTCCACTTAGTATATATTTTTTCCACTACAAGCCAATAATGTTGTTGCTTGTATCAATCGGCAAAGCTAAAAGTCGACTTGTTGGTCCCTCCCCAGATCTTCTCCAATAGAGAAACGTGATCTTGTTGTTTTGTCCCACTGGCCTCCGGGACCAAGCTCGTCCAAAGACGGCTCGCCTCCAAAAGGTCAGAGCCCAAAGTCGAGAACAGGTATGTGGTTTCCATCTGTGGTCCGGAGTATTATAAAAAACAAATTTCAGTCAACAGGGTTAACGTGATTTACTCAACTTTGATTTTTACACTTGAAATTTTGAGGTATTTACACTTTTTCTTTAAACTCCAGACCGCAGTTCAGATGGGGAAAGCACATCGCATAGACGCCCCTCAACCGAGTCCAGATCACCTGAAGACAGAAAACATGGATATGTGGATAAAAGAGTGTTTAGGTACCATAAATATCACATTTCACATAAACTTAATTGTCTGAAATTCAGATTTGAAGTGACAGTAGCACAAATACTTTGCCGTTTTTATGAATTAAAATCTCAACAGTGTGTAATAAGTTTATCAATAAAAGTTCACTAATCATCTAATTAATAAATCATCTACCTGTTTGTAATTTCATCTCAGTATAAATCCAGCTATTTGTTAAAGAAAATGAGAGAACAATGAGTATCATGAAGCCCAAGGAACACAGCAGGTCAGGGATAAAGTTGTGCAAAAAGTGGCCCAGCTGCAAACTGGACTTTTCACCTATTCTGATCGTCTGGAAAATGTGAACTTTAGTCAAAGAAGCAGCTAGAGCTCTGCAGAGATCCAGAGTTTAGATGGGGAAAATTTGTAGACTCACCCACTTGAATTGTTTCGTTTTGTTGTTTTGACCTTTACGAAAGAAGTACAACAAGAATACCATCACCCTAAGAAAACGATAACACTTTTTGTTTGCTGTGACCATATTGGAGACAAGATAAACATGGAAGAAGGTGTTCTGGTCAAACTCTTTAGCCTACGTGGAAAACTACCTTATGCTTGAAAACAAACTTTGTCTGTCCGAACTTCAGCTATTTTACTAAGAAGCGTGGACAGAAAGTTCAGTCTAGATGTAGAAAGCTGGTAAAGGCAGACCTGAAGAACTTGCAGCTGTAATTGCACTAAGAGGAGCTCTAAATACATGTTCACCACATACATCTCAGGTCCATTTGTGAAAAAAATATGAAGCCATGTATTTCTTTCCCCATTCTCTGATGTGCTCTACTTTGTGTTGATATGTTTACAAATAATGCAACCATAATTATTTTATGTCATTGCAACTAAATAGAAATGATGCATTTCAACATCTGATCAGTATTTATTTTTCCAGACCCGACAATGTGATGCATGACAGACCTGAAAGGCCGTCTTTCAGGAGACCAGGACCAATACAAGTAAGCGAATAAAGGCTGAAGCAGACAATTTTTACATATTTTAGCTTGACTGGGTAAGATTTTTTTTAAAAGTTCTTTGGGGTTAAAAGTGGCAAGGGCAACAAACAAACAAACACCAAAAAGAAAAAATCAGACGGGATCCAAAGTTGCAGAGCACATAATTTTTTTTATTTATTATACATTTTAAAAATGATTTTTCTTACATTGGGATTCCCTCTTCTCAACCAACAGTGTTAAGGGTTTGCTTCCATGGCAACATATGGTCAGGTGACCTGAAAAAGATAGTGATGAGCAAAACATCTTAAAGTTAATTTAATAAACTAATCATCAAGGTTTAAACCTTTCCTCAACACTAATTAAAATAAAAGCATTTATAAATTGAATTTTGTTCAAGAAATACATCAACTGTTAGTGAGGTGGTGAATGCCTCACAATAGTAATTGTTGAATTTAGCCATGTAAAGAATTGTGTAAATGTATATGCTCACCTTCTGCTATTACAGCGGCCGAGGATCCCTGGTGGTTCAAGGAATACGGGCCCAGACATGTCGGAAAATATCAGAAGACCTCTGATGGTATGTGGAACTCTTGACTGTTTGCAGATCTTTGACTTCCTGTTTAAATATCTAGAAAGGTCATAAATCTCCTCGATTAATAATTGGATTTCTTTATTTCTTTAAAAGGAGACTTTAGTGCCGCGTCCTTTTCCGAATCAGAGACCAGTGTTCAGAAAAAGCTACAGCATCGTGTCTAAATACCGCAACATGAGGGTGATGCGTCAGCGTGCGCCTTACGGCAGAGGACCCAACCAGCAGCGCTAGCGACAAACTGGTGAGTTATGCAAATTTCAATACATTTTGGTATTAAAATATTTTTGTATTTTGTGTTTAGATAAGAAATATCTAGCAAGTAAATTCCTAATAATTGTATTCAGTTAAACTGTATTCTGCTTTTTTTCTTTTTCATTTATTTATATATAGGCACCAAATGGTGATTGTGGAGCTTAGAAACACTGAAACCTCCAGTACAGAACTGCTCTGTCAAGGTGGACTGCACAAACCTGTCCAGCTTCACCTCATACCTGATCAGCTTGTATGTTGTGAAATTGTTCCTTCTAAGATGTTGTCCCTGGTGTTTCATTCGCTTCATTTAACTACTGCTGTACTCAGTTTTACAACGTTTTTAACTGTTACCTATTTTTTTAAAATATATGTGTGTATGTATATATATATATATATATATGTATATGTGTGTATATATATACATACATACATATATGTATACATACATACATATATGTATATATACATATATATGTGTGTGTGTATATATATATATATATACACACACACACATATGTGTGTGTATTATGGTTTGGGAACGTTTGCTTTAAAAGTCCTTGTAAGTCCTGGTTTTACTTCGAATGTGCTATATTTTTTTTTTTTGCTTACAAGCAGCAATCAAACATTTACTTTGATATGTGACTTTATAAACTTGTACTGATCATGTCAGATTCACTAAATAAAACTAGAAATGTAACAGTTTTTTTTCACAAATTTGTTCGATATGGACTTGATAGATCAGTATTACTTTGTTTACAAAATAAAATAAAGCTCAAAGTGGGCATATTATTCACTCTTTCCTGTCTGAATAGCATATCTTGTTTTTTTTTTTTTAAAGTGAAATTTATGATTTTTATATTAACCATTCAATCCAATTTACTTATAAAGTTTCCATTCACATCAAATATTGTTCAAGACATCTTCATAAACAGATCCCATTTCTGTACAGTATTTTTTCAGACTAATATCGGACTTGTTGGCCAGTATGTAAAGTTATATCTGTGGCAGGAATCTAACTACGCCTCATCCTGATCTCAACATATGTAACTGTGAAGGAAGATCTCGGCATATATACAGGTGTGTGAGGATTTTGAGAGAACATTAGTAAACGGACGGCATCATAAAGATCAAGGAGCACCGCAATATAAGAAAAAGTGAAGAAATTTCAAACAATTAGGTTATAAGACATTTTACCTCATCATGTGCCTATAAAATCAAAATCTGTTTATGTGGTGACAATGAAAAAGTTATATTAATTCATAGTTTCACAAGACGCCATCATTTAAGGTTGCTCACATTGGGTGATGCAATTGACCTAACTTTTATGAGACAGTGAAGTGCAGCCTGCTTCCTTATCATTTTAAGTACATTAAAATAAAAATTGGGGTGTTTTTATTATTTCATAGAGTTTTTAAAAGAGAACACTGTCGATGCGAGATGCTGATACAGCTGTGGAAACAATTAGGAGTCCACTGCACTGAACCTTATTCAGGTTCAGTGCAATAATTAAACCTGATTATTCCCAGCAAAATATTGATTTCTGAACTCTTCCTGAGTTAAAACATTAGTATTGTTGTTTCTAAAAGAATATGAACTTGTTTTCTTTGCATTATTTGAGGTCTGAAAGCACTGCGTCTTTTTTGTCATTTTGACCATTTCTCATTTTCTGCAGATAAATGCAAAATTTTTGCTTGGGATTTCGGAGACATGTTGATAGTTCATAGAATAAAAGAACAATGTTCATTTTACTCAAACACATACCTATAAAAAGTAAAATCAGAGAAACTGATAATTTTCAGTCTTAATTTTTTTAAACATGCTTTTTGCATTTCCCTGAAAAATAGAACTGCAGTTTCAGTTCATATTAAACCACATAACAAAATAGCCTCTTACAATTTTTAGGGGGAAAAAGTAGCGTCAGTATCTCTAGACTAAAATCTAATCATCACTGTTGATCTCTCAGTCCGTGGGAGCCATTGCCCCCATCGCCACCCGCCCCTTCTCCCCCCCATCCCATGATATTTGTTGCCCTGCTCTAAACTTAGCTGTGACAGAACCACTCCTCATCACAACATGCATTGGAGTACAAAAGATGGGATCAAGTTTCCTCAGATGCTGCTGCATATCAGTCGTGACGCAGTAAAAAAATAAGGTGAGTGTGTGCTCGGGGTTCTTCATTGCTCTCGCTGTTTAGCTCAATTAGTTTGAAATTCGTTTCTGCATTAAAGCCAACGTTTGTTACTCATCTGTTCAGCCTTGTGGTATGAGGAACAGCTGCTTCTACAGTCACACCGGCATTTAGATTCTACTACTCTGATGAACTAATGGTCCCAAATGGAGTTGTTTGCTCTTTAGTGGACTGGGAAGAATTTCTACATCCAAGAAACGTCAAACTTGACGCGAGGCTGCACTGATTTCTGCATGTTTCTTCTCTGCTCACTCGCTCTCGCCTGTCATTTGGAGATGTAGTCCAGCCATGCTTTTTTTCTGCTTGTGCTCAACTGTGATATGATGGGCAGCTATAACTCAGCGCTCATTCCTGGTAAGCCATGCAACTATGGACTGAAACTTTTGAAATACGTTCTTTCTTTCTCTTCAAGGAGACTTTTATTATTTGTCCTCTGTTTCTCTCAAAGACGCAGAAGAGTTTGATTCCATTGTATGGTCGAGTCTGAACGAGCAGAGAGCTCCTGCTGCAGATGAGACGCTACAGTCAGAGCTCCGTTCTCTGGGAAGTATAAAATTAAGACAAGTGTTTGCGTTGTGCTGCAATGCCGCTCTCAAAACTTGCAGCCCTGTTTGAAAAGTGTGTCTGGTGTGTTTGTGTTCCCACTGTCCTTGGGATAAATTTAGCTTTCCTGAGCCGCCTCATTCACACACAGACATGTATTGCAGCTGAAGATATCTGCTTTGGCTCCTTACTTGTGACAAAGGCCCAGAAACAGATGAGTTCTGTCACAGAAATTAATAACTTGACCAGAATCGAAATTCTCTTCGGCGACTTTATTGAAGACAAACTGGGACAATGTCTCTTCAGTTTTGATTAAGTAAATATTGGTTGTCTTAAAGTGGTGTGAAAGGCTTTAAAATAAATCAATCTGAGCACAATCTCAGACATGAAATCCAACCTTTACTTTGAGTACAATTATTAGGTAAGGGAAAAATCTCACATTAAGGATTGTTTTAAACAAGATTACAACACTTATTCACACCCCTGCTGGTAATACTGGTATCTAACGTTTCAAGCACATTTCACATGGTTATGTTTGTGATGGTAGGACAGGAGAAGCTTTTTCCTGTTACACCTCCTAAAATAAGGTGGCATTTACTGGTTTTATTGCCTTTTTCTTTGCTTCTGCTCTATTCTTGAGATTTTTTTTGTCTTTAAAAATGCTGTCATACTGTTTCTCATCTTCCTGTGTGTCAGTGTGCTGAAAAATGCATGACATGAGGATCTAAATTGATTGTGTCCAAACTTTTTGCGCCGCAAGTCCATCATTTCCAAGCTGAAAGTCATAAGCATCCATATTTTTATTTTTTTTTACAATTAAAAACACAAATGAATTAATTTTGAATTCTTTCCCTTTTTGCTGCTCCGACATAAATTGATTAATAAAAAATATTGTTGAATATTTGTGGGCCAGCTTATTATGACATTAAATGAAAGCAAGAAAACATGGCTAATGAAAGTGGTACTTATTATTGAATAAATTAGCTTAAGCATCCTGCATGGTGAAGTGAGTGAACAACCTGCATAGCGTCAGATGTGTTTTGTGTAGTTCAGTCGCAGTTAGGTGGATCCTTTTGCGGCATACTTTTTTTTATCTTTCCCATTTAGAAGAGTGGCTGAGAAAAATTGATTCTCCATTGGATACATATGTTTCCCTCACATGTATGCTATGAGAATTGCTAGCGGTGCCAACAATTGTGATTTAGTTAAAAACATTGCTTTTATAGTGAATACTGAAAGCAAGTATTCACAGTACAGGTTGGATCTTTTTTTATGTCCAGACTTCCTGTGGTATCAAATGTCAAATTTATTTTAAAGCATTTTGCACAATCAGATGGACAAATAATCATGGAAGCTGTTGTATGAAGCAGAAAACTCAAACTAGACTTTATTTACAGGTAACATTTATGATCGAGAAGGAAAGAAGAGAAAACCAAAGTGAAACAATGAATTCCTCAGCAAATGAAGAGAGCACTCAGGAAACAAGTCAGAATTGTTCCCCACTTCAAGTGAGTCCTAATGGGATGCTGTTTATTGATTACTTATTACACAGACTGGAAAATTAAGTGTAATTTTGATTTGCCGTTTTCTGTCCCGAAGGCTGCAGACAAGAACATGTCGAAGGAGTCTTTCTCCTCGCTGCTGCCGAAGGCTCTCTCTGCTGTGCTAAATCCAGCAGTGCCCCCAACCCTCAACTCAGATCCCCGACCAAGAAGCCCAGAGAAAAATATCAAGCCAAATGTTGAACAGCTGCAGGCCGAGTTAAAAGACCTCAGGGACCAGTTTGAACAGATGAAGAGTCAACACAAGTAGGACTAAACAATTTTTACAGGCATTTTGGCAATTCAGTTTACTTTAATGCAAATGTTACCTTGACAGTTAGGCCTAAGTAATGCATTGTATTTCTTAAATAGTTAGATACCTTTATTGTCAAGTGCTCAGAACACAATACATTTTAACTGTTTTTGAACTTTTTATTTAAAATAAATCTTTTGTTTCAGCAAAGAAATTAAACTGCTGATGAATGAGCTTGATGAGGAGAAGAGGATTCGCTTAACTCTACAGGTAGAAGTACATCTTAGTCTGTAAATAGTGTCTTTAATGAAACTGAAATTAGGTTTGAAGAAATAATATCTCATATCTGGTACTGTGTCTTTCTTTGATTAAGATGGAAATCCAGCGGATGAAGAAACACATGTCAAAATGAACAAGAAGGATTGGATCAAGGGCAAGGGTTTCTGTTGTTACATAGGCTTTATGTAACTTTTTAAAGAAACTGACCATGAAAATAATCTTTTTCGTGCTTTTTTTAAAAAGGAAAATGGACAGTTTATTATTTCTTTGCTAATGTAACTAATGTTGTGATGTGAGGAAGGTGCTTATTATATTTTTGTTTGTAGCAATATCAAATAAATGCATTCATTCAAACACAGAAAAATATTTTTGCCATCATAAGCTGAAACGGAGAAAGTAGTTAAACCAGCATTGATGGAGAAGAAGCTGGACTGAAACAGTCTTTCTGATGCGCTACCAGCAGCTTATCTGTCAGCCAATGTCAGTCAGTGGCATCCTAATACGAAGTTAGAATCCTGGTGAAGCTATCAAAGGAAACGAAGAAATGAAGAAACATTCACTTAATATAAAATATAATAAAATATAAATAAAACTCGGAGGTCAGATATTTTTAGTGAGAAAATAAAAATGCATTTAGTTCGACTTTTTAAAAAGTGAAACATGAATGTAGTCCTGGTTTTCTTTATATAAAATATTTATGCACACCCTGTACAACTATGTACCATTTTTTTTCCTTTGAAATAAATATACAGTTTACAGAATATGTCACATTTTATTTGTTTGTTTATTTTTTTCCTTTTAGAAAACTTGAGTGACCGAGTGGCGCCTTTTCATTTGGGATGCTTATTAATTTCCCAACCAGTCCTTAAAGAAACTGAGGAGCCAGAGGACTCTTCCTCGTGAAAGTTCTTGATTCAGGGTTCAGCTCGATTTCAGGACGGCGTCTATGCACATGGAATAGGCCTGAATGTGAACTCTTTCTTATTAACAAGAAGAATGTCGTAACGACAAAGAGGCCTGCAAGATAAAAAAAAAAAAAAAGCTACTATGAATTTGGAGACAAAAGTAAAACATAATTTTTTTGAACGGACACAGTTAAAATGGTCTAAAATCTGTAAATATTGCGTACTTCATTTTGTGATCCAGGGGTGTGAGACGGATTCCCAGGACCCGAAGCTTGGAATTGGAATTACACCCGACTCCGGAGTAGTATTTGACAGAGACTGTTTTCACTGGCTGAATGTTTCTAGCAAACATAGCAAGCATTGTGGTCTGTTTGTCCTTCGTGAACTTGATTGCTTTACTGGTTAAAAAGAAAGAAAGAAACACACAGACATAAGAAGTTATGGAAGAATTTTTGGACTTGATTTTTGGGCAGCACTGGGAGTATGAAAAAAGAGGCCTTACTGTTCAATGATTGCCGCTGATTCATTAGTACCGTCACTGATTTTAATATCCATGTATCCCTTCTGTTCCTTCTGATTCCAAGTCGTCACATCTACTCTGTAGTTTGTCACTGAAAGAGCAGAACGTATTCATGCAAAATTATTTCAAATACTAAACCAAATACTAAACTACTTTTTTTGTTGTCATTTTGCTGTAGTACTCGTGTTATGGTTTATTTATTGTGGACAACATCTGTGGAGAGTGGAAACATGCAATGCTGCAGTAATCTAGAAAACTTTGTTTAATTCGTTTTTCTGTTTTATGTTGTGGAAAATGCAAAAAACTACATATATTGCAGAAAACCCACACATCCTTTTGTGACTGTTGTTTTGCTGCGTTCAGCAATGTGCAGGAATGTGCAGGAACATTAAAATGTATTTCTGCTGTTGATGAAAGTCTTTGTGCTGCCACTAGGTGGGGACGCAAACAAAATCCTGCGGATTCAAATCAGATTTTTATAAGAGGGTGCATCTCTGTAAATTAGAATGCATTTGAAAAATCAAATGTTTATTCATTCCTTACAGAGTGATGTATTTAAAATACTTATTTATTCCCAGTTTGATGGTTGTGGCTTAAAGAAAATCAAAATGTAGTTTCTTAGAAAATATATATCTGATGTAAAATAGACACAAGAATTTGAGTACAAAAGTGGTATAGCATGGTCTTTGTAATCATATGAAACACTGCTGAATTGAGGGTTGCCCTGCAAACTATTAATGTGACCCTCCACAGTAAAGGTAGGTCACCAAGGGTCATTGCTAAAGAAATTGCTTACAGAATTAAGTACACAGGCTTGACAATGTAGCTTGGAAAAAAATCAGACATTTGGTTTGTTACAGTGTCTTCTTCACCCTCAAATATTAAGAAACAATTACTTGTTGGGGGACTGGGCTAAGGGAAAAAAAAATGACTGGACTCTTAGTGACCCAGTCATTTTTTTAGTTGAAGGCAAATTTTGCATTTCATTTGTAAAACTATTCCAGAATCTGGGTGTGGAGCAGAGAAGCACAAAATCCAAGCTGGTTCAGATTTGGGGAGCCATAATCTCCTGGTATTGATTAATCAGTGAATCAATACCAGCTCAGCCATTTACCAAGTTATTTTAGAGCATGTCACACTTCCGTCTACTGAGATGGTGATTTGAGAAAATAATTTCTTTTTATTAACTGTAACCTGGTTATAAAAACAAACTCAAATAAACATAACAAATATACCTTTCTCTATTAAATATGATTATCCATTTTTGCTAAACAACATTTTTTCTGTGACATTCTAATGTACTTACATGCACCCTTTTCATATGATAAAGCATTGTTTTCCATCATTCTAGTTATTCTGCTAAATACTAAAATTACTTACAGCAATATGGAGAGTGTGAGTTTGTGTTAAAGTAGAACTTTGTTTGGTTCGATTGATTGAGGACGTCCTTCCACCGTATAACATCGTAGCCTGATTTGAGTACAAACATATGCATCAGTCTAAATGTTAAGCACAGTGTACACACACTGTTGTGTACCAGTACAGCAGTAGAACAACATAGGTGTAAGTTCATCAATAAAACCACCAACCAAAGACAGGACAACCAGCTTCACCAAAGCGGTCACAGTTCATGCATCTTCCATCCAGAAAATCTTCATGGGAGGAACAGGGGAATGCTCGACTGGGGCATGAATCATTTATAGTGTCCATGAAAAGGAACACTGACCTCTGGTGGTCACATTTGAAGTAGCCACTGGCTGTTTAAGGGTTAATGAAGGGAAATATTGTCATTTTAAAATCACAGCTCACTGTTCAGCAGCACATGTTGGCCAGTCCCTCAAACCTTACGTGATAGCACAGTCTTCGGACAGCCAGGCTGATCTGTTCCTCCGTTAGGATAGAAATCAATGTGGCCCAATGGTGCCCTGAAGCCCAGAACTGAAAACCAATAGGACATATAACACATATAAACATCACTATAAAGACACATTTGAAAGAAAAAAAAAACAAAAAACACATCACTTAAGGTTTTAAAACAACAATTAAACCGGCTGACAGTCGATGTCTGTGTGCAGCGCGTCGACAAACTGAGCGTCTGTCGGGTCCAGTCGCTGTTCTGGAGGTTTGTCAGTGAACGTAGGTCCGGCAGGATCAAGAGCTGCAAAGATCACATCAGTACAAACCAGACAGAAAATAGTTTAGAGGTAAATGCACAGAATATGTACAGCATATTGCACCAAAACAGGCTGTGCCATTGTTGTACAGGTTCTTTTTCAGAAACACATGCATACTATGAATCTATCAGGACTTCAGTCTAAAGGCTTGATATTCTGAAAAACGTGCATTAAAGATTACCTACAGAAGAGACTTTACCTATTTCATTCACTTAGTTTTTAAAACTCAGTTGTTGCAACCAAGTTTCAGATTGTTTGCAGGTTTTGTTTTCACTTCATCTTGGCTCGTGTTTATCTCACCCTCAATCAAACTGACATAAAATCATGTCCTGACATGTAAAACTTGCCTGTTATTCTTCCGATTGAACTGTTCAGTTTTGCTCCCACAAAACCGGAAATGTGGGCTCCAAGACTGACTCCAATCAAGTGAATCGAGCTTAGAGAAGCGCCGTGGTCCTGAAACAGAGTTTTTAAAAAAGTTCAACAACGTTGTCAAGGATGTTGTTCTCTCCAGGCACAGCAGATTTGGTTATAGAGGATCAGAGACACTTTGTACCTGCATTATGTTAATGAAAGCTGTGAGGTTGTCTGCCACTTCGTATGTTTTCTCAACCACCTTAAAATAATTAATATTAGCAGCTCCATGGTTCCAGTCCACTACCACAACATTCATGTCTTGCCTGTCCAGCAGCCACTTTGTGAAGTTGCTCAACCACAGTGGGGGAGATCCCGTGGGCCGAAAGCCATGGATGATGAAGGTGGTGGGGTTGGACATGTTAAACTCGGGATGCTCTGCCAGCTTGGTGTGGGATAGGACGACACCACAATTGACATCGTCCCTGGTGTAAAGCAGCAGCTTGATTTTGAGGCTTGTGCCGATGATGGAATGAGTTATGTCTAGATCTGTGAATTTCCCACATCTTTGGTCTGGGGATCCTAGTAAAAACAAGCAAAGAAAAAAATTAAAGACGATAAGATTTTATTTCAGGAGATCTTGATATGTTTGATCATGTATGACGCTTAGTATTTAGCTACTTAGTATTTAGCTGATGTATGATGCTTAGTATTTAGCTACTTAGTATTTAGCTGATGTATGACGCTTAGTATTTAGCTACTTTGTAGCTGATGTATGATGCTTAGTATTTAGCTACTTAGTAAGGTGATTCTCTGATTTCAGTGCCTTTTGGGGTCTATGGTTACTTAAAAATCTACCGCAAAAAATTGTGTTTTTGAACACTGCATCTATTGAAGGACTCTTTGAACCTCCAAGAAAATATGTCTCCCCACCTAATGCATGAAATCCCAAACATTAATACAAATTTCTTTGCTGCTCAGGTTGCTTTAAATTCAACCCCGTAACGGGACTATTTCATTCCTCTATAAGTATAACTGCATAACAAAATTAAATGAATTCTTCCAGTTCCTTTGACATCACCTGTCCCTTGATTAAAATAACTAATTGTAAGTATATTTGATTTGTTTCTGTATCATAATAATTAGACTGATAAGTAGAATATGGCAACTTGATGTAAAAGCGCTTCTCATAAATCATGAAAATACACTTAAAAACAAAAATTACATCAGGCTTTTTTATGTTTTTAAATCATTCTTTAAACTTTGCATACAGTCCAACAAATATTACTCTAATATTTGCTGTTATTATATAAAAAATTTACAGTAATGCATCGCTTTACAGGGTTGAACCCATTGTAAAAGTTGACCAGACTGTTATGGGGTTGAACCCATTGCCTGGCTTAACAAATAGTCCAACGTTCAACCCCGTAACAAAACCGCCATTTTTGTAACGTTACGGGGTTGAAGATTTTCACTAAAAGTTGCCATAAGTTCACATCAGCTAGGGTATGGAGCAACATATGATATGATGAAAACAAGAAATTAATGTTTCAAAGACCATTCTTTACTTTTTCCCAAACAACAATAAATATCATTTACATGCATAATCGGGTTGAAAGGTTGAGCTTGACGATGGCGATATTTGGGTAAAAAATAATCAAATAT